TGTTAATGTCATGCTTTATTAATAGAGAGTTCAGCTTCCTGCTAATGTCAGACTGCACAAGCATTGAATGACTAGATGCTAAGTTGTGGCTCTCTAGCACTGTGACGTGTACGTGAAAGTCACTCAAGTATTGACTTGGATGCTTAAAAGTGACACGTTAACATTACACGGTGTGTGTCTTAAATGGGCTTAATAATTATATTAACAACATAATAAGAAGATGAATATTAGTAATGTTATTGCCTTCATTATAGCTGAGAGATGTGTGTGTGTGTGTGTGTGTGCGCATGTTAAGGCAAGCAAAAGAAATAAACCCTTGTGTTGGACTACAACACAAGGCTGTGCCTCAGGCTGCTGAGCTGTGAGCGTGACTGCTTATTGGGTTTATTTAGTTACACATATAAAATGACTAAAAGGGTAGAAACATTGTTCAGATAACCTATATTATTGTGTAGCCATTATGCTCGTGGTGTAGCTGAGTGTTTTGATGTGTGTGTTTGGTAGGAAGGTGAAGGTAAAAACTCTGTTTATGTCACTGACATCACAATCAAACACACCCAGATGTTGGCGAAATGTTCCTACATGTTTGTGTTAACGTGGCACCTCCAGTGGAGGGAGCTGATATTAGTTAGTTTTTTTTTTTTATTTCAGCATTTGAGGAGCAAATTACCACTGGGGAGTTTTATTTCTCTGACTTCCTTCTGCTGATATTTGTCATAAATCAGAAAGAACCAAAATTGTCCTGTTTTCAGTGTTGGAATTCCTCTTGACAACAACACACACCAACAGCACTGTAAACCATTTTATGAAAGTGGATCTTCATGTAGGTGTTCTTCTTTTACCAGATGCCAGATAAAATTAAGAAAGTACAGCCACAGGCTCACAGTGAAGGTCTTTGACATTTCTCTGTTAATAGCCAGTCACACTGACAGTTTGGAAAGTCACTGCATTGGGCTGCATCAGTTATTCTATTTCTGCTCAATATAGTTTTGAAAAAGGAAGAGGTGTTATTCTCTTTGTTGAAGGACAAACTCCATCATGCAACCAACAACACAGCAGCAACAGTTAAACTGCAACTATGCAAAGCTTTCATTTACTTTTCAGTAAACACTGAGAGGGTCTTTACATAAGGATAAGGATAATCCTTATGTACATTTATGTTGGATAATGAGCGTGACAGTCCAAACATGATGCATTTACCCAAAGTTCAACAGTGTGATGACAACTTTGCTTTATCTATTTATTGGTCAGTGATAGAGATGAAATTGAGACTGTAGAAAGTCATTGCACCCAGCCAAGAAATAGTTAACACTGATAACCATCTTGAAACTGAATGTCTTGACAATAAGCATGTTTCACAAAATGTCTGACTGTAATTGTTTATATTCTGCATGAAGATTTGATATACAGACAGAATTTAAAAATACAGAGGGAGGCATGACAAATACAAATATGTGTTAGAGATGCCAGCAGCTGCTGAACATCTTTACCTGGGTAGATTAAACAAGTTAATTGTTGTGGGGATAAATGAATCCCCAGTTCTTTTACTCTTGATTTGTTTTTTGTTTTTTACTTTCTGCATCCAAGAGTGAGGGAACATTGGATTAAAGCTGCACTGTGCTTTATTATAATATTTGTAGGTTAGGATTTGTCACTTCAAAGAATTCTTTCAAGAGAAGAGATTGTGTACATCTTGACTTTCCTCATCTGTATCAGTGTCACATAGTTTCAGAGGAAATTCACTTAAAGCTCAAGTTAATTCTTTTTCTAAATGAATTTTGTCTTTCATATTTAACAGAAAGCATTTTTGCGTTTAAGTAGGTACTTGTTTTTCCAAGTCTGTGTCTGGAATGGCTGGGACTGTTAGCAGACAAGCCAGGGAAATAACCACATGACATGCTGTTGATCTTTGGTCATTGGTTATGGGATGAATATGTAACATATATTTGAGCTTTGTGCTCAAAAAAGCCTCACTGAACCCCCACCCCACCCTCCAGTTCCCATCTTCAGCATGAGCCCACAACGTGTCAGTAACCTTCAGTCCCTGCTCGATATCAGCCTCGTCTCTCTGCGCCATGTGACAAACACTCTAAATTCCCTCTTCGTCTTTGCAGCTCTTTACCAGATTAAGTTTAATTCCAAAATGAGATATCCAGCATTTTAAAAACTAAAAGCCTTTTAGTAGTGAAAAGATTTATTGGTAAGATACAGCACTCAAACCTTTACTGTTTCCAGCTTCTGAAATGTGAAGGTGTCCTGTTTTTCTCAGTTGTACTTCAAGTGTAGGTCTTTAGTTTGCTGGTCAGAGAAATCAATTTGAAGACATCCCTTAGGTCCCAGGCAACTCTGCTATATGTTTAGACTACATTTTGTAGTGTAATTCTGAAGACACCCGTTTTAGAATATAAGTGGGTACACTGCAGCTCAAACGATGGTTGCAGTGTTTACATTTTTTCATTTTGATATCTGAGGACCCACCTTGGGGCGATAAACTGCTGGGACTTTTGTTCCTGTCTCCTGCATACTGGTGTCACTGTGAAGAAAACTCTACAGCCATGATTGTCCTGTTGTTGGTTTTCTTTGTTTAAAATATAAAAAGGACAACCAGTTCAAGCTCACCTCGTAGCCTTTACCCATGGGTTTTATTAAGGGAATCGGTGTCAACCAGTCGGTATACAGAATGAATACATCATCTTGAGCTCTGGAGAAATTCTCACAAGTATTTTGAGTATTTTCTGACTGGTTAATCAGTTAGTCAAAAGAATCATTTATAATAATGAAAATAATCATTAATTGTAGCCCTGCAGGCATTAACCCTTGGTTAAGTTTAATCTGCGTCTCCTCACATTCACGATGCCCGTCACTTTAGACACCAAATGTGGTTTGAGTGTCCACTTTGTGGCCAGACCTGCTTTATTTCGTGCCATCTAACAGCATACGACTTTCAACCGGCAACACATGTTTGGCTTTCTAATGACTCTGGTAAAAACTTATGCAGGTCATTTGATTTGGCCCTTGTCTGGAGGGATTAACAATGTAAACATACATAGGATGTTCTTTATCATTAAAACCACAGACCAAAGAATATTTCCTTGGCATCAGTAGAATTTTAATGAGGAAGATCTCTGCTGTACTTACTGAACATTACAAACTGAACATTATTGACGTCTGTTGAACTCGCATACAAAACACAGAACAACAGCTGATTTTTACAGAAAATGAAATTCATTAGCCAGTAAGATAAAGCCGGTGTGACTTTATATTGTAGTTTGCTTCTGTCTTGTAAGGAGATTAGTTGACAAACTACAATAGTCTGTCTCTACCCTATGTATGGCTCTCGACCCCAGGCCCAATAGTTCCTACCAAAGACGTGAATCTTGAAAAACAAGTCATAAAAAGAATTGAAGGTAAATTATTTCTTAAACAACGGTACTTTCCATAAAATTATCCAAACAGAAGGAGAAAGTGCATTTGTTGGACTATTTTCAGTCACAGATTAATTTCCAATTGTTGTTGGACTAGTGAATATTTACTGCAGAAGGACGTGTGTGTGTGTGTGAGAGTGTGAAGCTGACAATAAACCTGCGTGTGTGATGTCCTAAAAGGACATGTATTCCAATGCAACTGTGTGACTCATCGTTGTGTTTTTAATCTTTTTTGCACAATAACGGAGCCCTGTAGCAAAGAGAAATGAGATTTACTGTACCAGGCGTCGGTTCTTGTTATCGGTTCAGTTCATTTTTACTCTTTTTTTATGCAATTTGTTCACAATAAGGAGAATACAGTGGACTGGCAGACTGGGGTGGTGGTTTCCATTTTTGAAAAAGGAGACCAGAGAGTGTGCTCCAATTATCGGGGCATCACACTACTCGGCCTCCATGGAAGACCCTGTGCCAGGGTGCTGGAAAAGAGCGTCTGATGTTCAAACCTCAAATTCAGGAGGAACAATGCAGATTCTGTCCAAGAGTTTAAGTATCTTGTGGTCTTGTTCACGAGTGAGGGTAAAATTGAGTGTGAGATTGACAGGCGGATAGGGGCAGCATCAGCAGTAATGAGAATTCAGTACCAGGCCGTCGTGGTGAAGGAGCTGAGCTGAAAGGCAAATCTCTCTGGTCAGTCTACACTCCAGCCCTCCCCTATGTTCACGAGCTGTGGGTAATGACTGAAAGAAGAAGAGCGTGAATACAGGCAACCTAAATGAGTTTCCTTAATGGGGTGGTCAGACTTACCCTTAGAAGTAGGGTGCAGAGTTCGGACATCCAGAGGGGACTCAGTAGAACTGCTGTTCTTTCACATTGAGAGGAGCTAGTTGACATGATTTGAGCATTTTATCGGGGTGCCTCCCTTTGGAGGTCTTCTGGGTATGTCCAACTGGTAGGAGACTGTAGGGTAGACCCAGAACACGCTGGAGAGATTATATATCTCATCTGGCCTGGGAACGCATCAGAATCCCACCAGAGGAGCTGAACACGTCGCCAGGAGAGGGACATCTGGACTACTATGCTGAACCAGTTGCCACCGTGACCCAATCTTGGATAAGCGGATGATGGATGTGCCACCGTGACCCAATCTTGGATAAGCAGATGATGGATGGAAAATACAGAATATCACTAAACTTAATCTTTAACAAAGACACAAAGTGTTGTAGATGTGAGTGGCCCAGGACCATTTAGCAGTATGGCTGTACTCAGTTAGGGGGCAGGTCCTAGAATAAGTAAGTGAATGAATGAATGAATCATATTTCATTCTGGATCCAAGAGGTGCTTTACATTTAATGCATAGGCCTGTTCCACTTCACTACCAGCACTAAATGACTAACAAAGGACTGATAGTGGCTTGTCTTTAGATTTATAATCACCTCTAAGTCAGTGATTAATGTAAAAATGACAAATAATGGGTATCTCATTTCAGAATGAAAATGGGTCCCTGCAGGGCCTGTTACTGTCGCCCTCATTCTCCTCAGTGATTACTGTCTGTCTCTGTTTTGCTTTCTCTTGCAGAGGCGCCTCCCTCTGGGATGTCCAAGAATGGGTACTTTTTTCAAGAAATGGGTGAGTCTGAGCCTCCACCATATATACTCAGTACAGTCGGTCTTCAGACCCTTTCAAGTTTTTTATGTTATGTTTCAGACTCATCTTAAAATAGATTCAATTCATTTTTTTTTCCTCAGTCCACACATAATGCTCCACAATGATAAAGTTGAAATTGAATAAAAATAACGGACTGAAAGATCCCATTTCCAAAAGTATTCAGACCCTTCATTTACTTAGTTAAAGCACCTTTGATACTGTAGAGGACACACAGGATTTTGCTCCTCATGGTCTGAGAGTCCTTTAGGTGCCCTTTGGCAAACTCCCAGCAGGCTGCCTTTTAGTAAGGAATGGCTTCTGTCTGGCCACTCTATCATAGAAGCCTGATTGGTGGAGCGCTGGGCTGATGGTTGTACTTCTGTAAGGCTCTCCCATCTCCAGGAAGGAACTATAGATCTCACTCATAGTGACCAGGGCCCTTTGTCCCTGATTGCTCGGTTTGGCTGGTCGGGCAGATCTACAAAGACTGGTGGTGGTTCCAGATTTCTTCCTGTTGAGAATGAAGGAGGCTACCGTGCTCTTGGGCACTTCCAATGCTACAGAAATGTTCTTTTATCCTTCCTCAGATCTGTGCCTTGACACAATCCTGTCTCACAGATCCGTGGACAGTTCTCTCTACCTCATGGCTTTGTTTTCACTCTGACATATACCGTCAACTCTAAGACCTTGTATAGACAGATGTGTGCATTTCCTAATTATATCCTGGGCATTAAATTAGGCACTGATGGACTTTAATCAAGCTGTAGAAGCATCTCAACGACCATTGGTAGGATGAGGATGCACCAGAGCTCAAGTGCAAGAGTCATAACAAAGGGTCCGAATGCTCATGTAAATGGGATATTTCAGATTTTTATTTTTAATAAATTTACAAAATGCCCCCAAAAGCTGTCTTAACTTTATCTTTGTGGGGTTATATTGAATCCATTTTAAGATGAGTCGGAAACGTAACAAAACGCGAAAAGCTTGAAAGGGTCTGAAAACTTCCCGTACTGACTGTATGATTTCACTGTAAGCTACATTTTCAACACTTGCCAGTGGAAAACAAACCAACCAGTAATGAGGAATTCATGACTTGGAACAGTGTGTACTAAAAAGTGTTCCTCATTAGTATTTTGGTGTAAGTGGGTAGAGAGAAGCTTTTTATTTGAATGCTGCCAATAACGTGTGTTGTACAGTATATCCATAGTGAAAGATCTGACTTCAAGATTACAGCAGCGGCACAGATGCAGATGGCTCTCCCAACAATCATACTCCACTGCATTTGGATATAAATAATGAACTTTGCTCCGGCTGTTATGATAACGGCAGTTTCATTACCTTCAAGCCAAGGAGAGGATCCAATTAGTATGTGTGCAGCACAAGCAGTCAGGACAGGATTTGCTTGCAGTGGATCTCCCAGTCTCCCCCAGCCAATTATTCCCTACTTGCAACACACGAAGTCAGTCGGCAGATTCACAGAGAGCCCCCTGCTGCAGCTGAACACAACTGTCTTTGTTTAGGCAACCTTTTATCAGGATAAAAGGGAAATTACATTATTATTGGCAAGTAAGCGTTATTCACCATTGTCATCTGAGAGGTTGATTAGTCACGACTGAAGGCTGTGAGCAGGATGACATGAAAAATGTTTGTTGTACATTTTGTCCTGCTGTCCTCCTGTACATGTGTGTTATACGAGTCTGATCAGATTCTCATTATAGAATTAAATTATGTTCCGTTTGGCTTAAAATAGAGAAAAACAATAAAAACGAATAGGAAATAAAAAAAAAATAGGGAACATGAAGAAAATTACCAAAATGCAGTGGAAATAATTTTGTGACGTGCTGTGGCGAGGGCATGTTGCATTTTGAAATGACTCTACAGGATATTTTATAGGTACATTTGTGGAGTTTAGGGTTTCTGTTTAGCCATGCAGATCCTGACACATTTAGTTTAGTCTGTTTAATAGTCTCACTTGTTAAAAGTAACAAATTATGAGAGATGCCACCTTAGCTCTGTTTTTTTTTTTCTTTTTGAAGCTTTGTCGTATTTTATGAACGTGTAATTTTTTCTATTACTGGAGGTGGTCTTTACATGCATGGTAGCTTGTCTCCACTTCAAAACACTGGGAAACCTTGTCATTTAATCTTGTAATTATCGATACCTCAGGTGTCACACGGAGACAGACGGCTGCTTTTTGGTACCAACATACTTTCATCTTAATGACTCATAAAAATACACCAAATTGTTAGTAGCTTTTTAAATGTGGTGTTGTCGATTTTCTTTGTCTAAACATGTCTTAAATTTTGGACAAGTGCCGCAGTAGATAATTATTTTTCATTGTGGTTTAATCTGCTGATTGTTTTCTTAATTAATTTGACTTTTGGCTTAAATTATCAGAAAATGGTGAAGAATGTCCATCAGCCATAGTCAATGTCAGGTAATTGCTTGTTTTGTCTGACCAACACCTAAACTATTCTGTTCACTAACAAACAGCCCAAGGAAATGAGGTAAATCCTCACAACTTTGAAGCTGGAGGTTGGTCATATTTGACATTTGTGCTAGAAAAGGTACCTTTTTTTTTTTTTATTTGATCATTTGTGTTGGCTATATTTTAGACAGGTGTTTGGCCTAAGCTGTCTGAAAACCTTTTACTGCAGAATTTTATAGACGAATGAATCAAAACAATAATTGCCAGATTATCTACAAAGCTACAGTTTGTTGCAGCCCTAGAGGACATTAAATGATCGTATGGAGGCAGCCGTGTATCTTCTTTGAGTAATTCTCGGAACAAATGTGGCAACCTTTAAAACATATTTAATAATACCAACATGTTCATGTGTTTGTACAGTTTCTGCACGTCACAGTTCCAGTCACCTCTCAAAGGCTTCTGCAGAACATGGCATACCAATGGAAGGAAATGCATCAATCATTCAGTGTTTCCATATCAAACACCCCTCATCCCTTGGCCCTTGTTCCTTTTACATGTTGCATGCTCGTATTCAGTGGCACAGCTTGTCTGAATTCAAATGCAGAATTGATTCTATTATTAATCGAATGACATGGTGAAAAGAATCCAGATTGTTTTTAATACAGTCAGGCCATTTTCTGAATGATGAATTGCATATTTGGTGTTTAATTTCAAAATGATATACAGTATAAAGATAGTTTGATAAGGAAAATAAAATATTTTCTGCACAAAAATAAGTAATCAACATCTAAAGACTTTTTCCACAATTGATACCATTGTATCAATTGCGTTTTGGTGTAAAAGGATCAATTTGCTTCTCCGGCTCAGCAGCCGACACTCTCTCCCAAGGTGATTTGAAAGTCAGAGCCCAGCCGGTGAGTCGGAGACACAGGGAGATGCAGGCAAGGCGACGACACAGTGAGGTTCAAATAATGTCAAGTGCTGAAGGATGATCCTGGTACAAGACGAGCGGAATGAAGTGGAATTGGGGCCTCCTCATGGATAAGGTCATCGGATAAGAGATATAGTTTGAGATATTGTTCTTGTTGCATCAAGCCAATCAGTAGATGATATTTGGGACCTCACTAGTTACTGTAGGATTAGATTTAAGGAGCTGCTGTGTCAGGAAGAGAAAATGGGATGAGTCATACAAACAGGTTCCAGGCTGAGTCCTGTGATGCTCTCCGCCATACAAAATCCCAAGTATTACACAACAGGCTAGAATTACTAATTCAGTGGCTGTCTGTCTTCATCCAGCAGTGAAGTTGCAGTTTACATGCATTTCTGCCCAGACACACACATAAAACATGTAATACATAATACCTGTCCAGGGTGAACCTACACAGGTCTGAGAAATGTAGGTACTTACAGATCTGGTTGTTTTTTTTCTTTTGACTAAATCCACAGTTCTGACAAGTAGGAGCATCATTTCATGGTGTACTCATTGACTACTGGCACTTGCCAGCTACCATGGCTGAGGATTGTCTTCCAGGGGAGTTTGCAGTCCTGTCTGGTAGCTAGTGAGGTCCAGGAGGTGACCCTGTGCTGTTGTGTCCCCAGAGCAGCGGGAGGTGGAGCAGGAGGAGGGCAGCGAGTGCCGAGAGGAAATACAAGACTCGCCAATCGCCTGTGGAGATGACATCCACCTCTATGACAACCAGATCAGCCCTGGGTCAGGTCAGTGCACACACACACACACACACACACACACACACACACACACACACACACAGAGAGAGAGAGAGACTTAAAGGGCAGTGGGAGTTGTAGTGCAGTGTGCAGGGTAAAAGAGTTTGAGGGGGACAGACGGGGACAAACAGTGCTAAGTTGCAGAAAAGATGGGAGAAAGCAAAAGAGGTGAGGAAAAAGGGGGATTTGTTTACCAAAGAAGTAAGGTTGAGACATTGTCAGCATGTTGAAAATGCTTTTGTATCTTAACATTTCTTGATGTGCTCCCTTATTTTTATGCTATAAAATGAATTATGAGTAACAAATTGAGTGACAAATTTATAGATGACACTAGTTCTCCTAGTAGATAAATACTATACATGTACTCTGTTGGGAGTTCATTAGGTACATCAAGCTAAAACTTTCAGTCCAACACTAGGCAACACTCAGTGAGCACAAACCTCGGCCAAGGCCAGCTCAATTTCCTCATAATGCCATTATACCTTAACGCAGTATTCCCCTGATGGTTTGACCTTCATAATGTGAGCTGTGTGTCTGTCAGGCTTAGCTACACACACGAGGTGCAGGGGCACAGAGGAGGATGTACTTTGGCTGCATTCACATAAAATCCTTCTCGCAGGGTTGTGCAGAGATGTGGCCATATATATAAAATCTTTTTGGGGGGTAAACTTTGCTTTTTGAAAACTTTTACAAAGTCTGTTCCTCTCTATGCTGCTATTATTGCAAACGTCTGAGCCCCTTTCATCTTTTTTTTTTTTTTTTTCCCAAGCCGTGACTGTGTAGGCTTCAAGTGCGTAGGGCTTACTGGAAACAGTTTCTTGGAAAAAAAAAAAAAGTTTTGATAAACAATAATTTATATTGTTTTATTTAAAAAACCTACCATCCTTATCTGGACATGTAAAGTGAGCCACACAAGATGCTGTGGATAAAGGTTCAGCACCAAGGCTGCATTTTTAGTTGTTTGTAAATGTCTTTGGGAATTTGAATGAGATTTTCTTAATTCAGAAATAGACCCTTGAAGTTCCTCTGCAACCTTGATCTTGATTTTGATGGGACTGTGTCCCAATCACTTTCCTAGAGTTAAAAATGACCATCTGCCCCTTTGACCATGCCCCTGTCAGTTCAAGTGTGTGATCAGTGCCACCAGCTCAGTTTTTTGCTCCTTGCATTTTGGACTTGGTTTCTTGAAAATGCTTGCAGTCAGCAAGCCTCATTGAAGTAGAAGGTAAGAGGAAAAATCCTGAAACAAATTTAAACATGTTTCTGTGGAGGTCTGCTGGGCTCTGATTCCATCCAGAGCCTGCTGGCAGGTGTTGACTTGAAGGACAGTTCCTCACCTGCAGCTGCAGATGATTTTGACCCCATCACCAGAAACTGAACAGATCAGCAGGTTACTGTTGTCAAGGCAACTGCCACATGGGCACCACAAGGAGATAAGGACACCACGAGGGATATCCGTTCCCTTTGAATGTGATGGAGAAGAGCTGGAGTGATAGTTGGAAAACAGTGGTGAAAACTTTAACTTTGAATGTCAGATCTAAAATCAGGTCAAACACTAGCGGTGATGGTGTAAACTGTCATAAAGGTCAGTTTATATTCAGTGTTGAAAAGCCAAAATGAAACGAGCAACTTTTGAAAAGTTGTCAGTCCTTTTTTTTTTTGGAGATTTATGCTCTTACATGGAGGGGTTGCCAGTGTTCTGTTGCTCTTGATGAATCTGAGGTCGGAAGTGTTTTGGTTATAAATGAGTGTCAGCTTTAGATTCTGCAACACTAGATAGATCAACATATGTTATACATCCATAAGAGTGACAGCTGCAGCTAAGAGAGTCTGCACTGACTCTAATTTAGATAAATTTGCCTAGATTTACTGAAAAACTAAAAAAGGTAATCTTTTTCAACATACTCCAAGTTGTCGTATCTCTCACCAAAGTCCACCAGCATCAGATACGTAGAAGGGAAAATACAGGGTGGCAAAACTGACCGGTTGTCTTCCTGCAGTATCTTTGTACCCCATACACCATGGTCTATTCAGTACAGTATATACAGACAGGCGCCAAATGAAAGGAAACCCCAACATAAAGCATCTCAGAGAGGTGCTGGGCCCCCACGTGCCACCAGAACAGCTTCACCGTGGTGTTGACTCTCTACTGGGGGGGATGAACACCGTTCTTATAAAAGATATTCCTTCATTTGGTGATGATGGCAGTGGAGACGCTGTGTCTATCAAAATAGAGAAATACATCAAGTAAACGCAGTTACAACACATGATCTGTAATCTGTTAGATCAGTCCTACTGAACATGTTGTTCTTTTTAATGTGTGTGCAGTTTTCATTTATGCATTATGAATTTTTACCATGGTTGGATGCTTTCTGGTGCAGCCACTAATTTCCTCACTGTCTACTGTTTGTCATAGTTGTGAACCATAGGCTTCCCTTCTCAGATGTGGTTCTGCATCCTCCTCTGTGCGCTTTTTGTACATTACATACATACGTTACATACATAGATGCAAGTGCGAGCCCGTCACGTGTTGCATGGCAGATGTTAAGCACTGCACGTGCTATGCACGTGACGTAGACATGGCTTAACGTGTCGCTGCAACATCTCCCACAGTGTTCAGCTGGGGTGAGAGCTGATGACCGTGAAGGCCACAGCGTATGAGTCACATCATGTTCATCCTCATCAATCCGTTCAGTGACCCCTTGTGTCCTGTACACGAGGGCACCGTCATCCTGGAGGAGACCACTCAGTTATTCAGGGTTGCCCTTTAATTTCTCGCCTGTGTGTGTGTGTGTGTGTGTGTATACTGTAACTAGATATATGTACCTTATCAGAGTTCACACTCTTGGGTTTAGTGGAAGCTGAACCCCTAAACATGGCAGAGTTTGTGCCGTTCTCGCTCTACTACAGTATACAGCTGTAATATGTTGCATTCTCACTACTGTCATCAGGCGAAATTCTCGCCCGCAGGTGCAGAATGTTTGTCATGCCCAACAGTGTCTGTTCCCAGGTTTTCAGCGCATTATTCATTGACAGCACAGCTGAATGTTGATTAGTGTCTTTTGTGTTCATTCCAGTCCCTGCAAGTCCCCCTACCCGCCCAACACACACATATGATCCTAATGTCCTTAGTTGTTTGCATTTGTCTGTTTCTGCATTTAATTTTTGTCACAAATCATTACATTACTTTATTATTCTACATCAGCAGGCCCCTGTGGAGTATGTTCACCGTATCAAATCAATGTAAGACTCTGAACAGGACTTTTAATCACATCCTGTCTAGCTAAATAAGCAGTGGTTTGGAAAAGCAAATAGCTTAGTGATTACATCAGACCCAGAGACAGCAGCTCCTATCTAAATCTAATTTAAAAACATCTGTCTTTTATAATTAATTCATACCCAGGCATATATTTAACATGGGTTTCTTCCATGAGAAACTGTAGTCATGCTTTGGATGCTTTTAGAATTCTGGTCTGTTGCCAGCCTGGTTTTTGGGACAGTCTTGACCTTTATGGTATTGCTCCTGATATTTAACTGCACCATACTAATGATACACTTTGTAATGGCTTCCAACATTTGAGGTATTTAAAGAGCATTTTTATTTAATGTCCCCCAATACGGGCTCAGCCTCCAAAGTACTGTAGTAGTCTTCATTTTACCACAGTGCCCTCATCGTCCAGAGAAACATTTTTTTGTACCCATCTGTCTGTTTATACTGGAAAGTGTTCTTCACTTATGTTTTCTGTGGAATGTTGTTCTTAAATTTTGTGTATCATCAAACTTGAGGTTTTCATTTTCGCTGCCTATAAATTGTGTATACATAGACATTTACAAAAAGAAATACTGAGCTTCATCTTAGAAATGACACGAGCAGAGGCATATTTTAATGATAAAGATGTCTGACAACAACAGCAAAGACATGACAGAAGACGAGGCAAATATTGTCGTCACTGTCAGAACAAAGAAAACACTGACAGCTTCAGTAAGATGGGGCAGAAAATGTGATTTGTAAAATCAACAGTAAATGATCCATTCGCTACATAGCATTTTAAAACAGCTATTGGCAACGTACCATACGTTTCTAGGTGCATAGTTGTTTTTTTTAGTGCAGCTATTAAGATTGTTTTATCTGAAACTACACTGAGTACTGGACAGACTTTCAAAGTCTCTAAAACAGCATCATTCAGGTAGCAGAACAAGAGAGAGGATTTTAGAGTTAAACTTTTTTTGACTTTCAGTAATAATTTAAGAGGAAGTCCATTATGAACCCCAATATTGAGTTTGTAAAACAATGGATTTACGACTTGACACCCTTTTCTGCTTTGGAAGACCCTTTGCTGTGCTGCTGCTGCTTCCTTCGACTTTCCATGGCTTGATTTAACACATCTGGATGACCGTCGAGCACTACTGTGGGAATTTTTTTTTTTTTTTAACTACAGGTAGTACAAGACAGAGCAGCTCAAGTGTTTTAAAGCTGAGGACTAAGATCCAATGTTGCTACCACGCAAGTCTTTATCGGTTGGCTGTTTAAAAACAGATTGTTTTTATTGCTCGGTTTTCCAGGAAGTATTATTATGACAAAGATCCCATATTTATCATATAAAGAGATCATGAGTGTGGTTACACATAATTTCTGTACTAGACAGGAGGCTGGGAGACGGTTTCTATTTCCCTAAGCAAGAACAAATTTAGTTCAACGGACCATTTTATACAGAGCTGTGCATGAATGGAGTTCAGTACCTAGAAGGAAAGCTCTGCAGAGAGTTATAAACAGAGTACAGAACATAAGTGACTACCGCCACTGAAGGGCATTTACGACTCCCACTGCCTCAGCAGAGCCACTGGCATCCTTAAAAATTCCTCTACACGTTTGACCTGACGCCCTCTGGCAGGCGCTACAGGTCCATCAAATGTCGGGCCGCCAGACTAAAGAAGCATTACTTCCCAAGAGTCATTAACAAACTGAACTCCATAAAACCTGCCCCATT